AAAGAGGGGGAAGGTGATCCGCATAGAAGGAGTCTCACTCCCAGAAGGAACAATAGCAGACATAGAGGACAGTTACAAGTACCTAGGTATACCACAAGCAAATGGCAACCTCAATGAGGTCACAAGGAAAGGAGCCACAGCTAAATACCTCCAATAAATAGGGCAAGTCCTGAGAAGTCAGCTCAATGGCAAGAAGAAAATCCGTGCGATAAACAGCTATGCCTTGTCAGTAATAAGATACCCTGCTGTAATAATTAGCTGGCCAAAGGAGGAGATAAAAGCCACAGATATTAAGACCAGAAAACTACTAACAATGTATGGAGGGTTCCATCCCAAATCCAGCACCCTGAGACTGCACACGAGCCGCAAGAAAGGAGGCAGAGGACTAGTGAGTGTGAGAACCACTGTCCAGGACGAAACAACTAAGATCCATAAATACATCAGGGACAAAGCCTCAACAGACAATGTGCTCAGTGAATGTCTCAGACAACAGGGAACAGAGGTTGAGGTGCCAGAGATACCATCATGGAAGGACAAGCCCCTACATGGGATGTACCACCAGCAAATAAACCAAGTGGCTGATATCAGTAAATCCTACCAATGGCTGAAAAAGCTGGTCTCAAGGACAGCACAGAGGCCCTCATCCTGGCCGCCCAGGAACAGGCCCTAAACACCAGAGCAATAGAGGCCCAGATCTACCACACCAGACAAGACCCAAGGTGTAGGTTGTGCAAGGAGGCCCCTGAGACAGTCCAGCACATCACAGCAGGGTGCAAGACACTGGCAGGGAAAGCGTACATGGAACGACATAACCAAGTGGCAGGCATAGTGTACAGAAACATCTGTGCAGAATATGGACTGGAAACCCCGAGATCAAAGTGGGAAACGCCCCCAAAGGTGGTGGAGAACGCCAGAGCTAAGATCCTGTGGGACTTCCAGATCCAGACAGACAGAATGGTAATGGCGAACCAACGAGACATTGTCGTAGTGGATAAACAACAGAGGAAAGCCATTGTGGTAGATGTAGCAATACCAAGTGATTGCAACATCAGGAAAAAGGAGCATGAGAAACTAGAGAAATACCAGGGCCTCAGGGAGGAACTGGAGAGGGCCTGGAAGGTGAAGACCACAGTGGTGCCTGTGGTCATCGGGGCCCTCGGGGCAGTAACCCCCAACTGGAGCAGTGGCTACAACAGATCCCAGGAACAACATCAGACATCTCAGTCCAGAAATGTGCAGCAGTCCTTGGCACAGCCAAGATACTGCGCAGAACCCTCAAGCTCCCAGGCTCTGGTAGAGGACCCGAGCTCAGAGGATAAGAACCACTCGCGGTGGGTGAGGGGAATTTTAAATTTTTTTTATATATATAAAATTATACAATGTGATTTCCAGATTTTTTAGGTCATGTCTGTCACAGCAGACATGCACCTAAGATGTAAATTTCAGACCACTCCATGATTACTAAGAGGGAGTAAATGCAATGTCGCAGAATGTTCAAATACTTATTTTCTTCACTGTATATAGTGAACAAAAATCATTTTTCTATAGAGCTTGATACAGTAACTGTTGAATTTGTTTTCACAGAATTGCAGGCAAGGTTGATCTTGCACTTGAAACAGAAAAAACCATCAACCTAAAAAAAAAAAACAGTTAGTAACCCAATATTGATAGATTTCTACAAAGAGCTTTTATGACTGGAAACAAAAGAAAAATTATCTAACTTCAATACACTTTAAACCAAGTCAGATCAAAGACTTAATTAAGGTAAAATATTGTTTGTTGATAAAAACACATTTGAAGTTCATTATTATTATTATTTCTATTATTTCTGATTACAACTATATTTAAAAGCCATATTTTTTTTCACTTTTTGTTTCAAATTCTAGTCAAACTCAAACTAGACTCAAAACCTGACATTTTGCACTATGTCTTTTCATTGTTTGTATTTTGATCACTTAGATCATGTGTAACTTTCATGGATCCCAAGGAATATTTGAATTCCCCATCGGATGAAAAAATAACTATCTTATCTTAACCTAAGTAACTTTGGTATGCCTGTCAGTGTGGATAAATAATGTTTAATACAATGCCAATATTAAACACAGACCATCTAATTACACCAGTTAGAGACGTCATCAGAGCTTTATTCCATTTACTGGAATAATCAATCGTCATCCTTATCAGTGTTTCAGCGCTCTGCGTCAAAGATTTATGTTCTTAGAAATGAGTCTGCTGGGAAATTATTACTTTTATCACCGGTTTTCTGTTTTAAACTCTTATTGTCATCTGATATGAAAACTTCAGTGCAGTTACGTGACACTTTTGTGGTACAAAAGGGCACATCAGGAATAACCGTAAGCAATCACTTTATGATTTGAACAGTTGCTCTAATTTTTGTGTAGGGAAATTTCTGCAAGGAAGTATTTTTAGATTGTCTCTAGATATTATTTGACTGAAGAAAGACAATAAGGCTTATTAAAATCTAACCTTCTAGTAAGACTAAAACCAGTCAAACATGGTAATATAAAATCTGACCCAGTTCTAGAGTTCTAATAGGACTGGCGTTCTAATTTACAGAATTCTTAGGAAAAAAAAGTAGCAGGTTCATTGCAGGTTCTGGTTGGATGGAGTTTTGACACAGAACGTGTTTGTTTATTTGTCAACTGTGGCAAATGAAGCACAAAAATTATAATTGGTTTTGTTAATGATTTCAAAAATGAAGGATTTCCCTTGTTTTTTTCAGTTGTGTATCATATCTGTAAAAGTATATTTTACAGATGTCACAGGGAATTTGTTCAGACTTTGTTTTTTGACAATCCCTTCTTATCACATCTTACTAAGTAAACATTTCTTCCTACCAGACACAAATTCATCTATATGAAAGGATGAAATCAATGGCATTTGAAAGGTTAGAACAACAATTAGATACCACCTAATTTACTGAGTTACATGATAAAGTGGAACAGAACATGTATAACTGGTTAAAGTTACTGGTAACTATGTGAACTCTCATATCTCTCAAGCTAAGTGAGTCAATGAAACTGGAGCTTTAAAAGATAACAGAAAAAGTTCAGAAAGGTCAACATCAGTTACAGAGACCTTGGAGATATTAACTATTGATCACTTTTACAGAATGTCTTAATTTGTGTGTTGATTGCTTTATAAGTGAGTCAAACCAATTTTTTTAAGTTTATGATATGATTCTTTTGCACATCTGCCTTGCAGATCAATCCTAATCAACCCATATCAGAGAGAGTTGGTCATTTAAGATTCTTAGTGTATAGCAACATATTCAAATTAATTCAAGTTCTGAACTTGAATTGGCAACTTTTTTGAGGCACTTTAGTTATTCTTCAAGTATACATGCTTAGCATTTAGAGGCGGAGCTAAACAAACCCTCATTGGTGTTGAGTTTCCTTATTCTGCCCAACTTTTCTTCTCCCTGGTTGTGACGCAGGTACATTTTTACCAAGTGAGCTTCATTTGAAGGTAATGTGTTCCATTTTTATCCATTTTCTTATTAAATCAGCTTTCAGCAGATGATTTTCACTAGGTATCTTTTGACCCAGTTTTTTTTTATTATTTACTGACTCTTTTTAAAAAATATTATCGTAGATCATTTTAACAATCTCTGAAAATAAAAAATCAGTGACTTTACAGGTCTATAATATGCTGCACACAACATATAGGCCCGAACGTGAGCAATTTCTTCCTTCACAAGTTAAGATACGATTAAAAGTTATAACTTAAAACTTATTATACTACCGGTATATATAAAAAACAGTATCTTATTAAAGTATTCAAGTAGTACTTTTACTCAAAGTACTACTTGAACTATGCAGAACCAATTACATCAAGGCATACTTTACAGTACATAAATGTATAAATAACATGGATACTGTAATCAAATCATCCAGATTTAATCAGAAAACCTTTCAGCTTGGATGTTAGCTTCTATCCATATATTTTTACCCCACAAGTATCTTCTCTGGAATAACTGTGATATTTAAATTAAAGTAATCTGTATTATTCAATAATTGGTTTGAAAGAGACATAACCACATTGTTAATCATTTCTATTGTACTGGCAGTATATTATAAGGGTTTGCTTTTAGTTTTCCTGCTTGTTCCATATAATTTAAAAAAGATCAGTCAGTCAAGTTAACAAGTTATCTTGTAAAAACAAAATAATCACCTGAGTTAAAATGAATTTAGAAAACCTCTACCCAAGCTCTCATGCAAGAAATAAAACAAACAAAAAAATGTAAAACACAAACATCAGTTCTTTTTGAATTGTAACAAAAAAACAACAACCAAGAATTAACTTCACACTTATTTTTTAGTTGTGAAATATCCAGAAAGGTTTGGAATGATGAGTCTATTTTTCTGTGCTGCCAAAACTCTTATACTTATTAAACTCAATCATATTTTTTTATATAAAAATTTGTGAATGTGAACACATGTTGAACATTATAATTTTTATATATCTTTTTGTTCACAAATAGTTTGCAAACTCCAAATATATAACATTATAACATTATATTATATTATCTATAACTTTTTTTAAATCAAAACAGAATTTTCTAATTGAATCCTACAAAGAGATCACATGCTTTTACTCTAAATTGTTTTTGCCAGCATTTACTTGGTATAATTGTAGTGGTTCTAAAACAATTTATCTGTCATGTTCCGTGTTTTCTGTTGTGTTTATTTGAATTTTCTGTGTCCTGAGTTCTCCTCGTTGTCCTGTCTTCCCCTTCATTGCTCCCAGTTGTGTCTTGTTCCCTTGATTACCCTCAGTGTATTTAATCCCTTCTGTGTCCTTTGTTCCTCGTTGAGTCCTTGTCGTCAGTTTGTCGCACTTGGTTGCTGTCATTTGTGTTCGCCTGTTTGACCAGTTGCTGCCGGTGTGAGCCCTGGCTTCCACTCAGCCGTGCTGCCTGGCCGCGGACTTTTTGACTGCATTTTTTGGACTATTGTTGCATTAAATCTTCATCACTCATCTTACGTGAGCCTCCAGCGTCTGCCTCACCATCTCCACCACACCACCTCATGACATTATCTCCCTTTATCCCTTTATCTTTGATTAAAATGTTTTTCATTATCTCATCAAGTGTAACCTTTAACTGTAAATCTTGCATTTTGTTTTTGAACTGTTGTTCCTTGATGTACACTTTGTTTTTGTTTTTTAATAGTTCTTCTGTAATAATTGCATGAAAACTCCATCACTGTTTTTTTCACAAATTGTTTAAATATAAAATATTTTTTTATGATGTTCAAAGCTCTTTACAACAAAAAAATATATATAATTTAGTCATCAATTATGAAACAAGCAATGAATATTAAATTCATTCAAAAGCCATCATAATTATCAAGTTTAGTAAATTGTAATTCTATGAATAAATCTTTTTGTTTATGTCTTCAGAGACTATAATAGATTTCATTTGAATCAATGTTAGATAATCTTAAAATTGCTTTCAAAACATTTTTAAACATTGACTGACTTTGTTCGGGTTCAATCCGTTTATTGAACAAAACTTATGTTACATGTTTTTTAAAATTTGTAAAATATTGATTTCTTATGTTGAATTCAGCCGCATGGCTCCATCTAGTGGACTATTAGTAGAGGTGCAGCAACTTGTTTACATATTTAACTGATATGAAGCAAAGAAAAACCAATCAGATCATCACCTGATGTTAACACAGTGCCAATGTTAATAATGATAAACATTTAGATAATAATGAATGTTTCTTCCTCAGATGAAGGTAGAACTTGTGGGTCAGATGTTGTGAACTGAGCAGCATGGAGAGGGGCAGAGGCAGAAAAGCTGCCGTTCATCCAACTGATATGAACTTCAGCTATCAGAGGTAAGATCAGCATCTCTAGCTCTCCAGGATGTTAGTGTTGTCAGAACTCGACACTGAAATCACTAAGCCATCTTTAATCATAGGGAATATTCAGGAGAAGCACCAGAATCTGATGCAGAATCTGGTTACAGCAGTCTGTCCTTCCGGAGCAACATCTCAAAAGATTTTGAGGTTGACTTTAGATCAGACCGACCGTCAGCTGCTGAGAGGTGAGTTGGATCTAAATCTTGTGACTGAGTCAGTTTGTAATGTTTTATTCAACATGTGTTGAGTAAATTTTTAAAGGAGTATACATTTACATTCTGATTAGAAACTCAAGTTGGAGTGTTTAGGATCGTTGTCCTTCTGCAGAACCAAGTGACCTTGACCTGAAGGTCGCTATTTTTTTTCAGAAATATCTGCTAAATAGCAGAATTTATGATTTCATTAGTCACAGAAAGTTATTCAGGCTCTGGAGCAGCAAAGCAACTCCACACCATCATACTGTTTGTCTGCTGGTCTGATGGTCAGTTTCTAAAATCAAAGATCAGATTTAGTTCAGATGTAAAAAGCTATAAACATTCCTAAAATGTTCCACTTGTTTCTCTTCATTCCACAAAATATTTCCCAAAAAAACAAGAAATGTTTTTTGGGTCAATCTGAGACGGGTCTTTATGTTCTTTTGGGTCAGCAATGGGGAATTCTCCCCACTGGAGGCCATTTCTCTCTCATAGAGTTGATTATGACCTTTGACCCTAACTGACACAGAGAGATTTGCAGAACTTTGAATGTTGTTCTGGGCTCTTCTGGTACATCCTGGGTCAAGCCAGATTTATTAATTCTGCCAAATATACAAAAACAGATTAAAATGAAAATTGTGTTTCTCCCTGACCCACAGGAAGTGTTACAACATGAAAGACAATCAGAACAATACAGATGAATAATAAAAATGAACTAAAAACGTGGTTATTTGTGTAAATAGTCTATAACTGCTTTAATTTATAAATTAAATTAAAATTTCAGGAGTTGTATGCCTCTTTTTTTTATTTAGTGGTCTTGAAGAGTTAAAAAAATATATTTTGTATAAAAATGAGGTAGATGAGTAGATACATTGGTTTCAGTGAAATGACAGCAAATACAAACTTGTGTTTTTGAAAGTAGACTAAATGACAGGATAGATCTAGTCTATGACATTAAACAGATCAAAAAATATTTAAAATGGTGAAATGTATGTTCAGTAAGAAAACAGAGTTTAACAGAGTTTCTTTATCAACTCTTAATCATTTTCTTCCTCTCCTATCTTGTTCTGCTTTATATTTGTGAATTTAACTTTGGTTTTGTTTTAAAAATACATTTTGATTGAAAATGGATGTTTCTCAGAAAAATGTGGTCAGTCAGCTCAGTCTTTCTCTGCCTGTCCTGCAGGTAGATCTAAGGGTTACGGATCTACATGCAGAAGCTTTTTTATGAGGTCACAACCACCATGTTTAAAAAAATATATTGCAGAATATGCAGAACACTTTTTTTACAGAACAAGTTCTTTGTAAATAGTTTTTTAACTATATATGTAAAAAAAAAAATGACTGTAAATAACATCTTGTTTTCATGTTTAGGCTCTCAGAAGAATCAGACTCTTCCAAATCTGAACTCAGCGATTTGTTCAAGAGTAACAGGTTCATGAGACACAAAGAAAACAGCTGGAACCTTCCTGGTGATCGTCTAGTCAGAGAGTAAGTTAACACCAGTCATAATAAACAACATTTCCAATCTGATCACAAACTTGTCAAATGTTTTCTACCATATTTATACAGATGATTCTGTAATTTACTGCTGTTCACACTCAATCATTTGAATCTCTATTCTCTGCTTTGGACCAAAATTAAATAAAGTAGAGGACTTTAAATACTCAGCGTACTTGATCCAGAGAGACAAAACAAAAAAGAACACATATTTTTTTTTATTCTGTTCAGAGAATTTCAGCTAATACCATCAAAGGTTAAATTCTGAAGGTTGTGTCTAGCTTCAGTTTTCTGAGTAAAACTTGTTTTTACAACAGAAACTAGTGACGTTTCTTCCTCAGAAGTTGGAAGCTTCTGATCGCAGCTGCTTTCTACCTGTACTAGACTATAATGATGTTGGATGTATCGCTGCTCCAACCAGCTGTCACCAGTCCTTGACTCCAACACTGAACTTTGAGATGAGTTTCTAGCTGCAGCCACTTCCCACCACTGACCACAGCATGCTAAAGCTAATTGTATTCTAAAGCTGACATGCTTTTCCTGAATGTGAGGCTCTGCATCCACTGGATGACTCTGGTTTAAATTAGAGCTGCACCGATCTTTAAAAATCCTGACCTGCCAATTTCAATTTTGGCCAATACCATGAAAGGTTGTTACATATAGCAAAAAGTAGCTGGTTGATAACAGTAGGGTGATTATTATTAATCGCAAATATGCAGACATGACCTGCTGGGCCGGTCTGTCAGTCACTGTCTTCTTCTGCTCTCAGTGCTGAGATTTTTAGACCTCTGCCAAGGTAGATATAATCGGGAGATAAGATTGGCTTCAAATGTGAGTATTGGCTGATCACTGATCTTTTTTAATTTTAAGCACATAAAAGCTTAAGAAATGAAGGAAATTGGCATCTTTAAATTGGCTGGCCGATAAATCAGCCTGGTTTAAAAGTGTCTCATTGACTTGGTTCCTACTTATTGATGCTCTTTTCTTTGGGGAACTGAAAGTGAGAACTGAAGGAGAAGTGCTTCAAACTGTCCCATGTTTTAAATTTTCAACTATTTCTGTTTTTATCTTTTCTGTAATAATTAGTTCCACATTTGAAACTAGGTATTATCAAATTTATTGCACTTTATTTATTTCTAATGTTTGTTACATGAGTTTGCATCTGAGTTACTTGTTATTTCAACCTGGTCTATGTAGGTGGGAGCCCCTGAAGAGTCCAGAAGTCTACTACTATATTGTAGTAGTAGTACCTCAATAACATGCAATGCAAATAATCTGTAAAATATTCTACAAGCTTAATCCAGAAGACCCGCTGTCTTGCTCAGCCTGAAATTATGAGCATCTCATTCTGCCTTGCTCAAACAGTGCAAACTTTTTTCTGCTGTCTTTGTTGTTGACAGATTTGTTCTGACAAAAAAAAAAGATGAACATGAGAAACTGAATCAAAGGTAGAGTTCAAAAACATCTGAAACATTTTAAAATAGATCTACATATTTTTTTTTCTTCTGTTCAGCTCAATTTGTTTACCTCAGTCTAACTACAAATTTTCTTGATCCACCAAAGGTAAAAAAATAAATAAATAAATCACATTCACAGCAACAGTGACTCATTACACAGCCTTGTGGTACACCAGTAATTATAATTGTGGTTAAGAAGCTGTGATGTTTAATGAAATATGATGGAACCTGCTGGTCAGAAAGTCCAATAGTCAGCTACAGATTAGAGCTCCGTCAGTTTAGTAATTAGTTTAAAGAGATTAATTATTAAAAGCAGAACTGAAGCCTACAAACAGCATTCTAGTGTTATTGTCCAGATGTGAGCAAACACACTGCATTATAGATGCTGGATGTTCAGATCCTCCATTTTGTAGTGGGCAAGTTGATGAAACGTTCAGGATTGGGGTTAAATAGAGGCTAAGATGTACCAGAACCAACTGATCTGAGCACTAATAGATCAGGGTGGTGATCAATTGTTTCATACTAGCACTTTAAGTGATAAAATCATAATAATTAAGCAATCAATTATAGAGCAAGCAATAAGTATTACATTTTGTCAAATACTGTAATCATCAAATATATTTGAAGACTCAGTACAATATAAACAAATCTAACTTTATATTAAAAGTGAATGGAGTAATAATTAATGAATTAATAAATGAAATTGTCTGACAATTTACTGATGTCAGTGTTTTACTATTGCAATAAATCTGAATGAGCTGCTCATTTTACTTCTTTCATTTTCAATGACTGTGAGCTGATGAAACACCTGAAGATAAATAACTCTGTTCCTTCAGCTCTTCCCAAGTAAATTATCTTAATGTACTCTGAATCTGCTTCAGCATTTTAGTTGGACCCTCAACACAACCAGCTGAAGCTGTTCCTACAATGGGAGACTCTTTCATCATAGCTATAGACTTTGGGACTGCATACAGCGGGTATGCCTTCAGTAGAACCAACAGCGAAGATGAAATTGATCCTCATTTGAAGTTCTGGGGTAAAGAAGTTGGCCTGGAAACCCCGAAGACTCCGACCTGCATCCTTTTTGATAAACAACAAGAGTTTGTGAGCTTTGGTTACGTAGCCAAGAAAGATTACCTTTCAAAAAAGGGCCAAGAAGCAAAAGACATGTTGTTCTTTGACTGCTTCAAGATGGCGCTCTATGGCAAAGTGAGTAAAATTCAACTAATCATTTGAGGTAAATGAGTTCAAATAAAATTATTCAGGGAATATTGTCATTTATTCCCTGAACATATGACTGTAGGCAGAATTTGTGTTTGATTTACATTTTATTTTCATAACCTTGACAAGCGTTGAGTTTGAAACACAGACACTCATTATAATCACAATGCTGTAGGAAATCAACAGAGATCTGATGATCAAAGCAGCCAATGGGAAGTCAATGAAGGCACTGAAGGTTTTTGCAGAAGCTCTGAGATTCCTGAAGGATGATGCTTTGGAAACCATCAACTCCAATACAAGAGGTAAAAAGTTCATTGCCTCTGACTTCAACTGGGTCCTGACGGTTCCTGCCATCTGGGATCCTTCAGCTAAACAGTTCATGAGAGAAGCTGCAATGCAGGTAACATTAAAGTATTTCACTGAACACAGAATCAAAATTTGGTTATGTTCATCTGAATCTTTTGTCTTTGCTTATTCTAAAAGAGACGGTCATGTTATTGATTGCAGGCAGGCATTGTGTCAGAGGGAAATGAAAATAAACTGGTCTTTGCACTGGAACCAGAAGCTGCTTCAGTCTGGTGTAAAAAGCTTCCAGCTGAAGGTTTCATCACACAGAACACCAGCAGAAACACCCTGGACCAGTCTCCAGGAACTCAGTACATCGTCGTTGATTGTGGAGGTTATGCTCTTACCTCTGTTTTTATGACTGAATGTTCGTATAAATACAGAATTTACATTAAAATTGTAAAATTTCCTGTTTTAATGCAGGTGGAACCATTGACATCACTGTTCATGAAGTCCTGGAAGGAGGAGCCCTAAAGGAGCTGCACAAGGCCTCTGGAAACGACCTGGGAGGACAAAATGTGGACAGAAAATTTAAACAGTTCCTGAGAGAAATATTCTGTGATGGAGTCTGGGACAAATATGAACAAAACTATCCTGGAGAAGTTCAGAAAATAATGTCTGACTTCACACTTTTCAAAAAGGGGGATAAAGATATGGAAATCACCTTATCACTTAACCTGGGAAGATTGGCTCAGGATAAAAAGAAGATTGGAAAGTTCCTGGAAGGAGTTCAAGGAGCTTCCTGGGACAAAGGGTCGATCAAAATCTCTAAAAAAAAACTAAGATCGTTCTTTGACGAGAGTCTGCAGGGGATCGTAAAGAGTCTAGACGATATTGTAAGAAGAGGTTACAGAATTGGGTACATTCTGTTAGTCGGGGGTTACGCTGACAGCCAGATTCTACAGAGACACATTACTGAAGAGTACATTGGTAAATGTGAAGTTCTGTGTCCATTTAGGCCACAGGAAGCAATCCTGAAAGGAGCCATGATGTTTGGGAGAAACCCAGCAGTTATAACATCCAGAAAAAGTGCCTTCACTTATGGGCTTTCTGTAGCTGAAAGGTTTGATGCATCAAAACACAGAGCAGACAAGAAATACACAAACCAAGATGGTGTGTGGTGTGACGATATTTTCATGAAACTTGTAGAAATTGATGAGGATGTTGGCTGGAACCAAATCAAAAGCTTTAGCTTGTATCCAACAAGCTCTACACAAACAACCATTAGTTATTATTTTTATCGCACACAACATAAAAGTCCAAAGTATGTAGATGAGGAGGGAGTGAAGAAAATTGGTGGGTTTGTACTTGACTCACCAAACACTGAACGTGGCATGAACCGTGAAGTCAAACTGAATATCAACTTTGGCTTCACAGAAATGAAAGCAACGGCCACAGACATCGATTCAGGTTCAACTAAATCTATCAAACTCGACTTTATGAGGCGGTGAAAGGCTTTGACCTCCTCATAAAGTCACAAGAACATCTGGTGGCTTTCATGGTAATTCACTGCTGTTTGTCCAGACAGGAAACAAACTGTAAAACAGTGTAATAGAGAAACAATGAATTGTAACATTAATTATACTTTAAAACAAATAAATGTAAAAATCATCTGTGATACTGACCTTTGATCTCTGTATATCTGCAAGTCTTGCAATAAACTAATTGTGTTTCTACATCTAAACCTTAATGTTCATGTGTTTAAATATTATATTTGCATCAACCATTTTGAGGGAACAATATAATACAATATAATCATATAAAATCATAAAAACATGAGAAAGCCCTGTAATACATTTTTATTTAATTTATTTGCTCTTTATTTGAAATCTAGTTACTGTTAGTATAATTAGATAGATAGAAAACACTGTTGAAAACTGTAAATAAACAATAAAAGTAAAGTTAAAACCCATTGAATATGTTTTTTTTCTTTTCACCAAAAGTCCACTCAAACTTTTGTTTTGCCTTTGTTTTTCAGAATTCAACATTTTGCAAAACACATAGAAAGTATCTAACCATGTTTAATTTCTAGAATTTACATCCTATAGACAATAAATCAGATTTATTGAGGTTACTTAGATGTTTTTTCAATACTTTGAGAATAAAACCATTAACTCCTGGCCTGTTTGTAATTCAGCAGTAGCACAGATTTATATAAAACAGCCATTCAATTAAAATAAAACCTTCTCTAAGTCAAACTACAGTATAAGATGCTGGACAATGGAGGAAACCAAGAGTAGCAGAGAAAAACATGTTCAGGTTCACAGGAAACTCAGATGAATACATAAAATAAATACAATAGCCAAACTGTTTTACATTTATGTATGAAAGGTATGAAAATTAAAAAATACAACTAAGCAAACTTATTAGGTTTTATTGAGCTTTTAAAAACAATAATCACAAACATCTGTTTTCAACAAAATTAAAAAGGTTTATTCTACGTTGCATGACTTTGTGTTTATGATGTAAAGCACTTTGAAAATGCCTTGTTGCTGAAATGTGCTATATAAATAAAATTTGATTGATTTGATTGAATTATAGTACCAATAGTTAAACCAGGAAAAGATCATTCAAAACCAGAAAATTATAGACCAATATCTTTGATGTCAAACCTATGTAAAATAATGGAAAAAATGATTAACAATACTATAGTATATTATTTAAATAGTAAAGGACATATATCAAAATATCAAAGTGGTTTTCGAAAAGGGAGGAGTACTAATGACCCAATGCTATGTTTAGAGCATGAAATTAGAAGAGCGCAAGTAAATAAAGAAAGTGTGGTGGCAGTATTTTTTGATATAGGAAAAGCATCTGACATGATGTGGGTTGAGGAATTATTAATGAAATTATATATGTGGGCATTAAAGGAAAGATATTTAAATGGATTAAAGACTTTTTAATAAATAGAAAAATACAAGTCAGAATTGGTGAAGTAATATCAGGAGTATATACAGTAGAAAATGGAACTCCACAGGGGAATATAATAAGTCTGTTACTGTTCTCAATTATGATAAATTACTTTTTTAAAGGTATTGGAAAAGAAATTGGATGTTCACTTTTTGCAGATGATAGAGCGGTTTGGAAAAGAGGTTATTATAATCTCTGGGGACTTCAACCATGTGACCTTGGACTCTACTTTGGCCACTTTCCACCAAGCTGTTGACTGCCCCACCAGGAATAACAGGATAATCGACCTCCTGTATGCTAATGTGAGGGATGCATACAGAGCAACACCCCTCCCCCCACTAGGGAAGTCAGATCACAACATCGTTCACCTACAGCCACTGTACACCCCCTGGTCCAAAAGCAGCCTACAACAGCTCGCTCCATCAGGAGGTGGTCCCCTGAGATGGAGAGTGCTCTGAGGACTGTTCTAAACACGACGGACTGGGATGTACTGTTCAGCCCGCATGGCGAGGACATAGAGGGGCTGACACACTGCCTGACGGACTATCTGAACTTCTGCGCAGATGTGGTATCCCCTGCTAAGACTGTCCGCTGTTACCCTAATAACAAGCCTTGGGTAACGCGGGAAGTCAAAACTGTCCTCAACAAGAAGAAGGTTGCCTTCAGGAGAGGAGACAGGGAGGCCATGAAGGCAGCACAGCAGGAGGTGAAGCAGTGTGTGAGGGAAGCAAAAGACAGCTACAGGAGAAAGGTGGAGCAGAAGCTGAGAGAGAACAACATGAGGGAGGTCTGGGAAGGTGTGAGGACCATCATTGGCCTCAACACAAAGACCAGAGTCGTTGAGGGAACAATGGAGAGGGCAAACGAACTGAACAACTTCTTCAACAGGTTCAACCAGTCTGTGCCCCCCCAACCCTCTCTCTCACTGCAGCCACCTCTGCTCCTTACCACACACCACCCCACAGACAAAAAAACACTGACAACCCACACACCTCAGCACAACCTCCACCCCACATCACCCAGACCAGGTCAGAGAACAGCTGAGGAAGCTCAAGCCCAGGAAAGCAGCAGGGCCGGACCAGGTGTGTCCAAGGCTGCTGAAGACCTGCGCTGCTGAACTGGGAGAGCCACTACAGCAGATCTTCAACCTCAGCCTGCAGCTAAGGGAAGTGCCCACCCTCTGGAAGACATCCTGCATCGTCCCAGTGCCCAAGAAGAACAGGCCCAGCGAGCTGAATGACTTTCGGCCCGTGGCACTCACTTCACACCTGATGAAGACGTTGGAGCGGCTCTTCCTCGGCCTCCTCAGACCTCAGGTGGAACATGCTCAGGACCTCCTGCAATTCGCCTACCAGGCAGATGTTGGTGTGGAGGATGCCATCCTCTACCTGCTGCACCGGGCCCACTCCCACCTGGATAAGGGCAGTGGCACAGTGAGGATCCTTTTCTTGGACTTCTCCAGTGCCTTTAATACAATCCAGCCCCTTCTGCTCCAGGACCAACTAAACAGCATGGGAGTGGACCCGCACCTGGTCATCTGGATCCATAGTTACCTCACCAACAGGCCGCAGTATGTCAGGCTGAAGGACACCGTGTCTGACACTGTGGTCAGCAGCACAGGAGCCCCTCAGGGCACAGTGCTGGCCCCTCTTCTCTTCACCCTGTACTCCTCTGACTTCCACTACAACTCGGAGCTGTGTCATCAGCATACTTCTGTATGTGACACAGCTCCGACCATAGTCGGATGTATCAGGGACGACAGAGAGGAGGAGTATCGCTGTCTGGTGAGGGACTTTGCTCTCTGGAACTCAACACCTCTAAGACGAAGGAGCTGGTTATAGACTTTGGGAGGTCCAGACCAAAGCCGAGACCAGTCGTACTAGAGGGAACGGAGGTTGAGGTCGTGGACTCCTACAAGTACCTCGGGCTGTGGCTGGACAGTAAACTGGATTGGTCAAAACACACCAGCCACCTGTACGGGAAGGTGCAGAGCAGGATGTACTTCCTGAGGAGACTGCGGTCCTTTAACATCTGCAGCAAACTGCTGTGGATGTTCTACCAGTCAGTGATCGCCAGTGTCCTCTTCTACACCGTGGTGTGCTGGGGAGGCATCACATCCAAGAAGGACACGTCCAGACTGGACAAACTGATCAGGCGTGCCGGCTCTGTGGTCGGCATGAAGCTGGACTCTCTGGTGACGGTGGCAGAGGCGAGGACACTGAACAAACTGCTGGACATCATGGACGATAGCAGCCACCCTCTACACGCCGTCATCAGCAGCCAGAGGAGCCGGTTCAGTGAGAGACTGCTGCTTCTCAAGTGCCGGACCAATAGATTCAAGAACTCCTTTGTCCCCCACGCCTTCAGACTGTACAACTCCTCACTGGGGGGTCGGAGGTGACACAGGGAAGAGGGAAGAAGGAGTAGTTTTTTTTCTACAAATGTGAACTCCATATTTATCAGGCCAAACCATACAGTGCAATACCATATCACTGGTCAATCTATCCACCAAATTGCTATAATTTCCTTTTGTGTTGTATTTATACTCTTTGTTTTGTATTATATTCTTATTATATTTACTGTGTACCTTGTATTTAATTTGTATTTTTTTGTATTCTTTTGTGTATGCTTACTGTGTGCCACATTTTTGCCTGTGAGCTGCTGGTAACTATAATTTCCTGAGGGAGTCTTCCCAAGGGATCAATAAAGTCAAGTCTAAGTCTAAGTCTAAGTCTCTAAATGTAGGTTTCATTGTTAAAAAATTACAAGACATTATTGAAGTAGATATTAAAGCTGTCACACTTTCATTTTTTACAGATTCAAAGATGTAAGAAGCGATATTGTTTCTTGATTCATTTAATTTCACTCATTGTCAGAAACAGTTTTGATATTTCGGGGGAAAACGTCCCATCTATCCATCGATGGAGGATGATTCTCTCAGTCAAGCTGAAGAGGCGGGTTGTTCAACGCCATCAGGCAACCAAGCCAGTAACATTCAGAACCCAAATACTTCAACACATCCTGAGGATTTTCTGCTTCATTTTCAAGAAAGGTTTCTGTTGACAATAAATAAATAAAAGTGTTAGTTTGCTGTGTTAATTTATGAATGGTAAGTATTTTTGGATAAGTCAAGCCCACCTGTGAACCAGCATCTTGTTTCTGGCTGTAGAGAGTCATCTGCAGGTTCTGAACTGTTAGCTTTCGGTACTGATCAACCTGAAGGAACAAACCTGAGTTCAGACACACAACTGGACCACAAGACATGACTTTAAAGAACATATTACCTTTTGTGGGGTTCCTCCATCATTCTTCCCTTTTTCAAACACTTTATCGATCATAATTCTTCTGTTTCTCATGTCAATCTTTGCGTCCCGAAACTCTTTCTGGCATTATAGGAAAAAATGGAGACAAACAGGAACAATAATGGGAGAAACAGTAACATTAGTTTGTTTCAGACGTGCAAGAAGGAAATCCAACATAACTACCAGAATCAGTTCTTTCACAGAATCTGAATGTTTCTTGTTGAACTTTAAGTTTTTTTTTTTTATTTTTGGCCAGTCACTCCTCAGTTCTTCATACATTTCCTTCAGTCTGTTCTTATTAACAGGATTGTTGAGGCTCATTGTTTTTCCTGTTTTGATTGACACAGCAACTTCTCCTGCCACTCTGTAAAAACCACATATTGTTACTGACAGAAAACTATTTTGTAGAATTTACATACTTATATATACATTTATATTCTACCCATCTATCATACACACATTTACA